CTCTATAGTAGTTTGTGCACATTTAAATAAAATTTATATTTCAGCATATGCAACGGTAATTTGTCATTTCTGAATAAGTATTATTAAATATAACGAAAATGCAAGCATGGTGATAGGAGGGGTTTCTTGGCCCTTGGGTCCAACAGGAAAACTATTGTGGCCCGAGCGAAGACAAAAGTTGGACCGCCCTGGACCACAGCAGCCGTGTAGACGCAAGACCGTAGAAATAGTGTACGAGCATGAAAGTAAAGATAAATTAGTGTTTGCAAAACGTAAAACTGAAAATGGCTGTCTTCTGGGTCGTAACGCCGTATGGTCTGGTAGGAGTTTACCAACGTTTCAGATGTACTTTCTGCCTCCATAATCAGGGTGCGCCTCGCTGCAACTAGAAGACAGCCACCTTCATAATCGCCGCCGTGAGAACCTCAAATCCTGCTTGTGCAATTGATTGTCGGCACCTCTTGGTCTAACCACTGTTACACATCCCGTAAGAACATGAGTAGTCATTGATGCAAAATTAAATCAGCAAACTGAAAACTAAATTGATTTATTGCTTCCCAACACTTGTACGAATGTATGAATACAGGAAAACTGAACTTCTGACAAGGCTAACAAACTTAATATATTTAAGTGACGTTACGAATACAGATCACAAAGAAATATAAAGTAATAACAGACAAACGTGGATATAGTCGGTTTTACACTAAAATATAATAAAATAGGCAACGTTAAATATTAAATTACTTTCAAATTTAGTTATATGAAGCAGTCCAAGAGGCATATCAGGTGTACTTTCTTGATGCTACTGTATTAAAAACGTCAATCCTCTTTCGGCCTGTTAATCGTTTTCGCAAAATTTTGTACTCCGGTGAAAAACGTCGCAGAGTTTCTACGAATATGTTTTAACGGCTTCAGTTATGTCTACAGCAGTGTGTGTGAATTTTGGGACACACTGTGTTCGACAAGTCGACTGAAGCAGAGTGTAGCGCACTGTGTTCAACGTGGTAATAAGCATAATGAAAACTTTGAGCTCCGTGTAAGCCTCCATCAGTCAATGTTTAGTCCGACAATAACGAAGCTGCATGGGAACTGTGCTGTTTGGGGTTGCATTGCGTCATTATCTGACACTGTCTTGAAATTAATTCAAGCACCAACATAAAGACTACATGGATAAAACATTACCTGACAAACCTATATTCATGACATCGACTTCAGTCAACGTCAGGGATAAATTTACACACTAGAAACTGTAGTAGTAGGATATTAAACACACTTTGCTTTAAACGGGGTGCTTCACAATCTGGAATGGATTACTTTCTTTGTAGTCACTGCAGACGAATGTGTATTCTTGTGGGTGGAGAAGTTATAAACTGTAGCCTATGCTGAATGATCAATTGTGAACAGTTCAGAAGAGATCACATATTTCTTACGGTGAGGGGCTGTTACTCCCTGCCAACCCCCATACTGAGTGCCTGTGGAAACAGTTAAAACAATCACGTCACAAGAGATGCTCAAGTGGATATAACTAACTAACTAGATGGCTTACCGAACCCGAAGGTTCATCACAGAATTAACAAAAGCCCTTCACCGGACCCTGTCCTGGACCAACAAAATCCAGTCTCCTTCAACTCATATCTGCGTAGATCCCGCCTGACATTATCCTCCCATCTACGTCTAGGTCTCCCCAGCGGTCTATTCCCCTCAGGCTTCCCAACCAATACCCGGTGCACACCTCTTGTCCCATCCATGCGCGCTACATGCCTCGCCCATCTCAAGTGGATATGATGAACAAGATATTACGTGGGTGGTACTGGTCCCTTGAGGTCAAACTTATGACAAGCTAATACGTATATCATTTTCATCATTCAATTAAGATGTCAATCAAATAGTTATTTTGAGTATGCAAATCTACTCCTAGATCAGTCAGTGAGTCAAGTGATTTGTAAATCAATAAATAACTTTGCCTAGACATGAAAGTTACTGAGTGACTTTTAAACACTCTGCTAAAAACTGATGAATCACTGTGACTGAATATAACGTTTAGGTCCACGTTTTGAACAGCTGTTACTTGTTCAACATATAATGGTCTTTGCATGATGATTCATCACAAGAAGGCTGAACATGTTCAGAATGGCATGTGATAATACACCCCACAGAGTCCCACAATAGGTTTATCATTATTAAACAGTATATGGTGTTCATATTCAAAATAACAGACTACAAAGTCTCAATCTTATTTTGCAGCAATACTGGTTTGCAAATTAAGTGTATGCTATTAGCAAAAATATGCATATTATATCACCACATGAATAAAAAATCCTAATTGTTAGATATTCAAATCATGGATGCAATAATAAACTTGCGGTTACAAGTAATAATTACAGAAATTTGGTGGAGAACGTCTTGGGAAATATTCACATGGAAGAATGAGAAGATGGGATAATAATATTCAATTGGATATTAGGAGAAGTTGCTAAGATCAGAAGTGGATGGAACTGGATCAGGATTGTCCAAGGCTGGACTTTCGTATGTAGTTATAAATGGTGATAAACCTTTAGATTGTATTTTCAGTGTTAGTTGGTTTAATTAGTTTCATCTATCTCCGACCTTTGTGATATAAAGAATTCAGCTTGTTAATTGTCAGACCACAAAATGCATACCGCTGAATTCGACCTTTATTCATCTTCAAACGCCCAGAATATTTTCTTCATGCCCAAACACATGCAACATGTGACACCTTCACCTAGTCACCAGAGCCACACTACAAACTTTGTTTTCAAATAAATTCAATTTATATTTCAAAAATATAAAAGTAATATAAGACAACAGTAACCTAACAGTCTCACACACACATGAATCGCCCTGATGACGGAGGCAGTATGACCTCTGAAACGTTGGTAAACATCTACCAGACTACACTGCGCAACAACCCAGAAGACAGAAATCTTCATACTCACCGCTGTGAAAACCCCAAATCTTACAGTATAATCAATGTTTACAGCAAAAAACTCCAAGTTTAAAGCATAACTTCTTCTAAATTAAGTAAAAAAGTGACATACTCACTGATATAAATTCTTGACAATTTATATGAAAACACTTAAAATGTTCAAAGTATATGAACTTCAAAAACAAGAGCAGAGTAAATTCTTTGGCGCAGTAGTGATTACTTAAATATTGTTACTAAATCATGCAAGGGATCACTTGAGGGAGAACACATAAAATACTAATATTTACCATCAGCCATAAGTACAGGGCAAGAGAGAAACTGAGATAAAAATCATAACTACAATTTGTGTAACTTACATACAATACAATCTGTGTTTGGAAAGCATTCAGTTTAAATATTTTATTCCCTCCTTTGATGAAATGATTTCAGGATTTAAATGTTACAATTACAATGATATCAGTCCAGTAAAAAAAAGAGGGCCATGGTAGCATATAAATTAACAATACAAAGGCAGTAAAATGTTCTAGTCAGTTGTTGAAATTTCATAATAATCTCCTTTTCCATTTCAACCATCTCACTTTACAAATAACTGACAGTTAATATCCATTATTTATACACAGGAAGTAGAGATGCCTTAAGAAGAGATGATCCTATGACTAACCTGTATGAAAATCTGTCATAGACAGAGACTGCTGTTTTTCCAAGGAAAAAATTTGGTCCTAAAAAGCATGAATTAATGAAGGAGTGGAAACAATTACATAATGAGGAGCATGTCTCCTAATATTTTCATCATGATTCTGTGAACATAGGAATAAACCTTTGAGTTCCATAAGAAGATGTGAATTTCTTGATTAACTCTGTAATTATTATTATTCAAAGAACTGCTCCATGCAGTTACAGTAGGAGCTAAGGCAGCTAGACTCCAACTTCACACAACAGATGGCAGGACTCAATCCAATGTGGTCCATGTGAGATTCATAGTGGATACAGTAACACTGGAGCTACTCATGTTTCAAACATTTCCATTTTCACATTATTTCACCAATTCTCCATACTGCAGCCACAATCTCTAAAGCATGTGATAGGTCCAACTTCACTACTCAATTGTTCCTCTGACTCTTACCCAGCACTTGAGTGGTCTCAGAAGACTGGCATCAGCTTTACCTGAAGTAAAGCAAGGTAAAGTTACCTTTGATCTAAAGAATCAAGCCATTAAAGTGTATATGTAATGTGAAGGTAAAGCTCAACAAATTACAGACCTTGGCACAAAAGTGAGGTGAACAGCCAGCACCACAGTCCAGCAACTTTAAAAAATAGAAGAGAAGTTCAGTGAACCCCTAAAGCAAATCAAAATGTTATGATGAAGACAAAAATCTTCCTGCCTACAATGAATCAACCCATTCCCATCCATTGTACAGCCAGCCAATTTAGTGAATATGGTATCTCTGCTCGTACTCTATATGATGTAATAAAAAATAATTATATGAAAACACGAAACCTATAAACAATAAAGAGAAATCATTCATAATTCATGCATCACACACATTCATAAATATTTTCCTATTATTACCTTAACTAGTACTACATAAACCCTCATCACATACTAGAATATTGTGTACTTTTGTACATGCATGTGTATCCATAACCATGCCATAAAATAACCTGAGGAATTCTACTTTCAAAACACTAATTATACTAAATCACACAGTAAATGCACCTACAATCCAGGAAGAAGCCCAAGGGTCAAATGTTGATATGGTTAGTACATTTCCATGCACAAAATATATATAATTTGTATCTAATTTCTCAGACTGAATTATATGTGTGTGTGTATGTTATGTATGTAATAAGCAATATTCAGAATGTAAATAATGTAATCCAACAATCCAAGTTGAATAGTTGAGGATCATGACACAAAATCTGAGGGACATAAATGGTTTTAGGGAAGACATGTAAACGCATTAACAGCTCCAAAATGTAAACGAAAATTTCAATATTAAAATTATGCAGAAGCACATTAGAATAATTCTATATGATGCTAAATGAACTTTACCTTTTTTCTATCATATCTTTGTAGCCGTTCATCTGCAAGATATTTGTAGTATAGTGTTCGAGCAAGTGTTCCGTGTGGACGATACACTCTACTAAGAATTTCACTGGCTTCAGCTGTGGTATGGATGTCATAGGATGAATTAAAACTGTACGTTCCTGCATTGCACTGACTAAAACAGGTGTCACTCTCACTAACAGAACAAGCAGAAGACGAATCCATTTTTATTTTGTGCCCGTTGCCTTAACAACAATTTGTCACACTGTTCTTCAAACCAGAATTTCAGTTTGGAAATGACACATGCAAAATAAAGACAGTGGCACGGCCTATTTTCAATCAAGATTATAATAATGAAACAAGTAGAGTCTAGCTACAATATAATATATTAAAATAAACGATGATTATTATGAAGATACACCAAGACGCAAGCACAAAAAATGGTAGTACAAGAACACAGAAATGCAATTTTACACAAAATTAACCCAACTCAATACACATATGGCGGCCATCTTGTACTAGCAGCGCAACATATTGGTGAGAATTAGAGTGAGAAACAACGGAACAGCACAATGCACAGCTACGGTCATGTAACCTCGCTGACTCAATCGGTACATTTGTAGGACTTCTTTCACGTTGTAAAATAATTCATTCTTTTGAATTAAAATAAACGCTCAGAAAATTAACGCCAGGAACGAAATTGTAAGACAAAATTGCCAATATTCATATTCATAACGACTCTAATTTTCCCAAGAAGGTCGATTTTAACTGCAAGCTATTTTGATTCAGATCTGCGTTATTTTCAGCAAGTAGGCAAAACTATACTGGAGCTCTCCGTTGTGTAAATTACTATCACTTCATTAACAACTATAGTCAACACAGAAATATTACATTACCATATATTATCACATACACACAGTATGGGTCATTCCGAACGCCCCTGCAAATCGCTGCCATAAGGTGAATTAACGGTGTATGAGCCAGTTGAATCCGAGATCTAAAATCCAATGTTCTTTTAATTCCCGCAGCTGTACATAACATGTGCGAAAAGGTCTTTCGCTCGTTCGTGCTATTTTTTGTGTCGAAATGCAACGTTTGATATCCCTTTTTGATAACAAATATTAATGTACGATAATTGTGTGAAAATTAAGTTAATAACAGGTATGTGAAACTCATAATATACCAGCACCGCTTAAAAAAATATATTACTGTTCTAGGGACCTTCACATGTATCTTATTATCAAACATAGTATTTAATTGCCCAATGGGTAAAAACATATTGAAAATGAAGCAATTAGGATCGGAACATAAAGTTCAATATCGTACAAAAATTTACCCCAAATATAAAAATTATCCATCCCCAACTTATTGCTACAATAAATTTTAAGCAAATATATTATGGCCCTAAAATGCCATTTTTATTATGATGTTCATATTAACACATAGTAATCTTGTATTATTTAAATGAATTCAAATATTAATTTCTTTAAGTAATTTTTGTTTGTCATCAGTATTCAGTAATGCTATTAAGAATTTTGGTTATATCATACTATATTACTATTCATTTTTCCAACTTTAAACAGAATTCCTTGGAAAATAAAAATTAGCCGTCTGAAGCCAAAGCTCGTCTGCATAACATTTAAGAAGAAAACACAACATCACCATTACAAATCTCAACTGGTTAATGCTGTTTAGGAAGATAATCTCCGTTTACAGTATGAATGTACGAGATTCACAAAAACAAAACGAACAGTTATCGACTATTTAAGCAAGTGGCACACAGAGTTATACCACTGGGCTTTAAATGGTTAAACAATACGGGAGAGACAAATACAATTTTATCTGTGCAACTTTTATTTCATTTCTATGCAAACTCTATATAATTCATGTAAGTATATTCTGTGCAGTATAATAATTGCGATAATAAACTAATCAAACCTGTTTCATAAAATAAAATATAAAACATTTCTATTAAAATTTACACATAAATAAATAATACATTATAATATTGTTCTTATTTCCTGTACGTGACACCACCTAGCGCAGAAATATGAAACACGGTTGTTTTGTGTTCCTTAAAAGGCAACATTAATTTTGGTGAAGTCTATACCTAATGTTACAGCTTGATAGGGTATTGTTTCCGTTTTCTTGTCTTTCTCAAATACAAGATTAAAATTGGAGGGGGACTACAGCTACATAATTTCACGGATGTTGAGAAAGGTGCAAAGGAAAACAAAAGCAAAGATATTTCTAATTAAGTTCAAAAGGGATGATGATTTAGCACTGTTCCATTCATATATCAGTAAAGCCTTCATTCGCAGAAGTCCGTCGTGAACAAACGGTCCAGGTGGATACTATAATTAAACTTAAGGAACCTAATTTTGTGACTTCATAGACCTACATAATTGCACGAGGGTTGCATGAATTCTTGTACCGCGTGACCATCATTCACTCATACTTACCACATTAACAAGTTTTTTTCTTAAACTGGAGAGATTTACCCATGCATTGTGCTCATTCTAAGATCACTGGCCGCATGTAGACAGGTCAAGTCGTGTTAAAATGTAATAGCATCCGCACTGATCATTATTACGCCCGTCTTAAGATACTGCTAGTTGGTCAAAATCGAAAAGAATGCCCCACTTTTATGGAATCCGATAATTCTTCGCCGCGTTAAGAAAAGCCCGCCACTGAACTCTGTCTTAAGCAGTTTAATTCAGTGCAAAACTTCAAATTCTATTTCTTACCAATGAATTTGATAACGTCCTCACATTTACACATACTTCTCAGAAGGGATTTCGTCTTCACATTTTCAGACTAAAGTTTTAAATTAATTTACCACATATTCCTGTCGTAACATAGCTTGAATTTTCAGTAAAACTAATACCAAAATCTGCATTCCGACATGATCCAGTGCCTTTCTATTCTGTTCCTTTTCATAATGTTCGCGCTAATTAAGTTGAAAGAAAAAAAACTATTTTCAGGACAGATAATCGGACGTCAGTTACTGTCAATGCCATTGGTAGAAATTTAAAAAAATAAGAGAAAAAATATATCTGAAAATAAGACGTACGTTGATTAACGATAAGTTGGTTATCCAAAGGGAGATAGAGTCCTTTAGCTTTATAATGTCTGACACTGTGGTAGCAAAACGTTTAACACTGCTAATACTAACGTACGCCATTGGACACGATCTAGAGTCAGCTCCAGCCATCTCGATCTTAAACTCAGAACACGCCTGCCCAACCTTTTTTGTTGTGGGACAACTTCGGCAAAATTTGGTATGTATGCGGGCAACATGAAGTTCAATACATAAAATGTGGACTGTATACGTATAATTATATATATATACATATATACACTTCTATCTGCATATTTTTCTATACATACTATATAATAAAAATATGTTCTAAAATATTATTGCAATGATTTTAACTTGGGTGTGATCTTTTGCACAATACGACCGGCAATGAAAATATCAGAAAGAAGCCGCTGCTGGGGCCTGCACACCTGCAAATCAGAAACTAGAAAACACCCCTCTCCCCCGTAACAATACACGTTGACAATCGTCGACAAAGTTATTTTAATCCCGACAAAGAACAACCTCTAACAATGAGGATTTGTCATTGAATCACTTGGAAATATGGAATTCGTGGTTCATTTTCTTTCATAGTTTGCCAGGAAACGGGTGCAATTGCTTCGTCGTTCTACCGCGCCGTTGCCACGGATAGGGCTAAAATGTCTCCACGGGTAACATAACATCGTGTCGCGGGCAACATGTTGCCCATGAGGTACAGGTACGGTGGGCCTGACTTAGACGTTTCCTAAGAAATACGTAGTTCTATAAAAATTCCGCATGTATTTATGGCCTTCCTTGCCATATCCTCAGCTAATCGTGGCTTTTTAATACCATAACTATGCTACATGTACAACCCATCTTAGATTCAACCACCGTAGTATTTCAGGTACCGAAACCTCTGTATCGCACTTTGAGTCATTTTCAACTAACAAGCCACACGCTGTTTTATAACAAGACCAAGTCTCCTTATTTTCTACACAGACTGTTGGCCTTATTCACGCTAAGTCACGTCTTCTGCAGCTCATAAAGTTTTGTACCGGCTCGAGGAAAAGGAGCGAACGATGAATCAGAGAAGGCAAAGAGAATAAGATACAGAATAAGGAGTGAGTTAAACAAACGGAAGGGTGATTTCTTTGTAGAAAGAAAAGACAATAGAATTTTATCTTCCAAGTTGTTATCAGCCAATCAAAAGCATTTCACAGTACCTCAAGAAAGCTGAATTTCTTGTGCAGTACAAACATTCGTATTGCTACATAGGAGATAATGATGGAATTTAAATGCGGAACAATCTAGGAAGTATCTGTACTTCATAGGAATTTGGTAAGAAAGATCTGGTAAGGTATTGCGTTGTCGAGGTAAGCCTCCACTGTAAGAACTCTTAAAATCTAGATGTGTGCTACGCAATGGAAATGTGGCGATGTTAAACAAACAACGACGGAAAAAAGTTTGTGGAAATAAACAGCTAAATTTTAGGCAACTAAAAAAAATCAATTGAATACCAACAAATTAACCAAGACGTTAATGTCAGTGTAAAGTGTTAGGCTAGATTCTTTCCTTCTTTGTGTATTTCATTTCACATATTCCTACAATTTTATTTTCAATAAAAAATTGTTGGAATTCTTCTTCTTAAAGGAACAGTATTATTGCCTCATTCAGATCATAGAAAACATAAAAGAACATAGACATTATTAGTCGCGTGAAAACG